CGAAGCCTGCAAATTGCCGTAAACTGCCGCTAACCTGAAGTTCCACGACAATTTACAGTGCCGTATATTGACGAAAATCCCACTTTTCATGCAGTGTTTGGCTGAGAGAGGTTAACTATAGAAGCTAACTGCAGAGGCAATTAGCAGGAGATGGAAGGATCACAGTAAATGATCAGAGAAGCATGCCCCGTGCAGACGATGCATGGGAGCGAGAGATACAAGCAGCTGCTGTAAGAGAGAGACCTGAGCTGGAGGTAAAATCCCAAGACAGCCCTTCTAGATACACTGCAGTTTGTGGTTAATTGTCTAGTCTCCCCATTTTGGACAGGAAACTATCATATTTTACCCCTCTTTACTCTTTCAACTCTCTTGTAAACATCCTATATTAATGTATTTTAAAATTAGTTAAAAAACAAAAAGATAACATTATGCTCCCTCTCCAAACGGAACTTTCACTAGCTTTGCAAGTCAAATCAGATCACCTTATATATATACATCCATATTCTGCCTTACAATCTGTTTTGTGTGAATACATTAGTTATTGCACTCCTGCCTGTCATGGGTAAAAGATACCTCTCCTTTTCCCATGGAAAACTGTTTTGGGGAGTTTTCCTAAGCAAATGTGAGGGTCTAAAGCACAGGGGGTGTTGTTATGGTGCTATGTAAAACCCTTTGAGAAAACTGTTTAAAAAATGGGCTACTGTATATTAATAAATTACCTTGCTTTGCACATCAGCAATCAAAGCAATTATTGGTTTCATGTTTTACCTACTTGGAAAACTGATGAGCTTTTCTCCACAACTTAATGGGTTCTACTGTCTCTTGTAAACATTGTATTTCATTAAGTGTCCTTTTCTCTGATTATGTGACTTCAAATGCTTTGTTGCGATCAACCAAACCTCTGGCACCAAAACAATCAAGTGGATTGATCCAAGAAGCAGGAAGGTAAACCACAAGAGGGACAGCGCGGGGTCAGCCCCTTATGTTTCTGCACTTCTCAGAAGATTAATGGACTTTAAATGCATTTGAGCCTGGGCAACAGGACACTGTATGTAATTACCAAAAGTGAAAGATAAAAATATGGTTAGTTTTCAAATGTTACATGTGGTTGACTGTGTTACTACATCAGAATCAGAATCAAGTTTATTGCCAAGTAGGTTTGCACTTACAAGGAATTTGACTTGGTGTTGTTGGTGCAGACAAAAAAACAAAACAAAACAAAATAACAAAATAAGATAGAATATATATATATATATATATATATATACACAGAAGCTATATACAAACAGTAGACTATGCGTTAATGTAACGCAGAAATCCCGAATGGGGGAGAGAAACATTGTCCAGTGTCACGGGCGGGTCTTGGCCTATTACAGTAGTATAAGTTACTGTGCAATAATTGTTTCCAATAGTTTAGTGCTGTTTGTCTCATCTCTATGCCCTCTATGCCTGTTTGGGTTGATTAGAATATAGATGTGTTGGGGTCACCTCAACTTTAATACATTTCACTGCATTAAATCTTAATGAAAAGGTATTGTTTTTGCAGCACTGACTGTTTTATTTATAGCAGAAGATGATCTGATGTAGCGTTTATACAGTTTGGCTTATCAGCAAGCACAGCTTTGACGACAATAAAATATTGGATTATAAAACCACTTGGCAAATTGACTTGACAGGTAATGCTTATAATTTGAATGGAATAAAATAATAATAATAATAATAATAATAACAATAAATGGTTGTTCCTAATATAAAATAATAAGTTATTGTAATACATTATTTATATACAGCCAAAACCTACAAACAGTATCCAATAATATACTGCATTTAGTTTATCAAGGAATTTTACAGCACATTATTTGCAACTTTTTACCAGTTATTTACTGTAAATTCTACAGTAAATTTGTTACATTGTATATAAATATACCATATGTCTCTTTGTATGTGTATGCTTTTCTTTATACATGAGAAATTTGGCAGATGTTACTGTGTGAAGGGATGTTTATGGGTTTTCTGGCTTGAACTAGTTATGTGATGAGGTGGGAACATATATACCTTTTGAAGTATGCCTAATGGTATCCAAACAAAGGGAACATGTTGTGCTCTTCAGCCTCAGCTTGTGCTTTCCTCTCAGATGTTTTCCCTTTTCTTTTTTATTCAACATTATTCTTTTAATTGATAACAAAACATTATTTTTTTTAAACTACAAAAAAAAAAAAAAAAAAAAAGAATTCCTAGAAAATAACATTGAACAAAGAATAAGAGATATGTGTAGTGGTAAAATCCATTGAATAGTCAGATTATCCAATGACTGACCGGTTTATTTATCGATGGACCAGTGGTAATGTTTCTGTCTTGAGCACTATAAAGCTATAGAGAAAAACAACATTTTTTAAAAATAGAACAACTATAAAAGTTTTGTTGCTAAATACAACAATCAAATTCAGTAAGTTTAATCTCATATTGAAAAAAATACAAATTTCACACATTTTTGAAAAGTCAAAGAGTATTTCACATATATTATGGATAGTTTTCCATAACTGTATTTGTAACTTTAATCAAACCTACTTTAGAACTAAATGCTAAATCAAACAACTGCTTTCTAAGAACATATAGATAAAAAAAATCCAGCAACTTAAAATCTGAAATGTCCAAAAATAATTTAAAGTAGAAAAAACTTGTTTTATTTATTTATTTATTTTATTTTGTAATAGAAAATACGGACATCCTGTGAAACATATTAATATGATTGAGTCAAGACAAATGTATATGTAAATATTTTTATGTGTTAATCATTCTTAATAAAAGCTTTACCAATTTCTGTTTTAACAGTACCTGATTACTGAGTTTAAGGTGCTAATTTCTATGTTTCTATGTTTTAAAATTTGCATCTTGAATAGATAATCCATTTTTCAAAGTTCAGGGATGCTTTCAAGACAACCTGACCTATAATTCTGCTCGATTTACTTACCAGTCTATCGATTCATTTAGTGAAGTGTTTTGTTATTTTATATTTAATCAAATACATGCTTTAAATATAAATTACACAACTGTGAGCAATAAACACAAAGCAATAACCAGCAAAAATACATAAAGTTTGGAGGTAATAAGTTATTGGACTACAGAGTGTTAAAAGGACCCATACTTCTGGACCAAATGTTCCCTTTAAAGGCTTATTTAACTGAAATGATCAAAAAAAATTATTTTGAGGCTATAAAATCTTTTTTGTGTTTATCTGATTATTAAACAGACAAGGAAATTTCATCAAAACTTTTAAACAGCACATCAGCGGATGACTAGAGAAGATAGCTTAACGTCTCCTTTTTGTTGGGCTGTTGGATGTCACTGGTCGTCCTTTTCTCTTTTTTCCTGCTGAACTTTTACTCTTGGATCCACAGGGCTTTGTCCTCTTCTTAATTCCTGTTGGTTGAAATGAAAACAGAGTTTTTTTCTCAACAGAAATTCTAATATCTTTATTGTGCTTTTAGGAGACTGCCCAACACAAACCAGTATATGTAGTAAAACGAAACCAAAACTACATCATGGCTATTATTTATTTATTTATTTATTTTTATAAATAAAGAATATGAAAAATTGGCTTGCAGACATATGGAAATCAGTGCAGAAAATTTTATTTGAGGTCTATTTGTCTATTTGTGTTTAATTTAATCTCATTAATGTATTTTATCATGCATTTGAATTTCCCCCTTGGAGATTAATAACATTCTTTGAATTGAATTGAGTGAGTTTATGATACTTAATGCAACAATTTTGATCATGGAAACACTAATCTACACAAACTTATCAAATTGTAATACAATGAATTCTGACCAATTTCTGACAAAAAAGCAATTTCAAAATAGTTCATGGCAATCTATAAGGTGAAGGTTACCTTTCTGTGGAGTTTTTCCTTTAGTGGATGTTTTTCTTGTTCGGGGCAAAGCCTTCTTCCTCTGCTTTGTTTGGACACTCTCAAGCTCCACCTCCACAGGATAATGATCACTGATGCTTTCAGCCTTAAAGTGTAAAACACTAAGATTATAAATGATCGATTTTTTTCTGTCCCAGAAATTGTTTTAACTAAATTTTTCTAATGCACAACTTAAACAGCTTTTACTATTTGATGCTAATGATAATCACCTCTTCATCAGTCAGGCCAAACTCCACCTGGAAGTTGAAGGATTTGGCGGATTCAGGAAGGATGGCATCTAGCATTTTTTCTCCATACACCACAATCCTGTTTACAGAAGATTCATCATGATGTATTTAACTGATGTGGTTTCAAAGAAATCAGCAAAGTGATTTACTTGTAATATTATTCAGTAGAATTTTAAACAGGGCAAGAGATGTGGACTATGCAGGTTGAGTCTTGGAAAAGAAAACCAAAGTTCACACTCTTCTAGACCTGACTTAAAGGCATAAAGACAAGGTGCTAGCTAATCTGGAGCTCACTAGGATCCTTTTACAAATAGCACCTTCAGCATTTCCAAAGCTGCTTGTCTTGGCTAAACTAACAAGCAAGAAAACATTGAAGGACAATCTGTTTTCCTATTAACTTAATCCATTCAAAGCAATAAACAAATGACTGATTAGAAGCATGCCATTTTTTCTTTTTTTCTGAAAAAATCATAAGTCTGGTAAAGCAACATTCAGTCAGTTCCAAGACTTCTCAGTAACTATTAAGCATAGTGGTGGAGGAGTGATGATGTGAGCTAAATTTGCACCAGTATTATAATAATTAAAACAGGACCAATGAACATGAACCCAAACACAGAGGTCAGTTTAAAAAAATAATGAAAAAATAGAATTTAAGGTAATTATTAGCAATTAAAGCACTGCAAACTGGCTGGATTTGGCTGCTCAGAAAAACAAAAAAAAAAACAAAAAAATGTTTTAAACCTTTACAAACTGAAGAAAATTTATAAAGAAGTTGATTGAAATTCACTCTTTATAGGAGATGGCTACATAAATACATTTCAAGTACTGAAATATAAACATGTTCATAGAGTAATGCATGTTTGGATGACAAGTGAGCTAAACTTTATTAATAAAGCTCTTTAAAACAACCACAGCTGGGACAAAGTGCTGTAGATACAGAGTAAAGTTAAAAATGTATGAAAACAACATAGAAGTTTAAAGGAACAAAATAGATGTAATAAAATAAATTTAGTAAAACAAATACACAATAAAAGAAACCACAAAGTCAAAAACAGAGAGAGTCTCAAGCCAAAGAATTAAAATAGGTTTTAAGATGACTTTTAAAAAGTAGACAGTGAAGAGGATTGTCTAATGAGGAAGGGAACTCATTCCACAATTCTGGAGCAGCAATTGAAAAAGCTCTGACAGAGAGATGGATTGATATAGTATATTGTAATATAACATTTATAATTTATTCATCTAACTTCAAAACATTATTATTTTGTCCTGAGTTATTAATTCCTTACAGTTAAAAGCAGCAATCGGTTGTTCTATATCTATTTAAATAAATACTAAAATAAAATAATTATTTTCCTTAATGCAGAAGATAAATGTACTTAAAACATGCCGTCACATGGGTCTCACCTGTCATAGGTGTGGTCATTATAATTACTAGTCGTTGTGTCAACATCATCATCTATCAACCAAAAGAAAGGATCAGAGGAGATTCGGATTGATTCCTTCTTTTTCTTAGAGAGATATCGACCATCTGCATTGAAGTCTCCCAGTATCATTATGTTCTGAAAGAGACATAAAGTATGAGTCAAAACCACACAAGTATTTGGAGGTTCGAATTTTGTCAGAGGTCTTAAGTAAAACTGTAAATCTGGATTATAAACCACTGCTTCAATCCTGAAAATGCGGTAGTGTCCTGCTATGTTTGGGAGATTTAAAACCTACTTTAGAGTTAAAAGGTAAAGATCAAAGTTTTATTCAACCATACTGTAAGTATGAGCTCTGAAACACATCATTCAGCACCTTTCATTGCTTACAAATGTTTAGTAAGACAGTGAACCCTAGGAGTTCATTTTCTGAATAACATGGTTGAAATAGAACAGTGAAAGTGACTCCCAACAGGGGGTACACGTACCCCCTGTGGTCCAAGAGTGCATTGCAAGGGGTACATTCAAATACTTTATTTGTGAGGTAGTGAAATAAAAATAAGGCTGGGATCGGTTTTTAATTTTGAGGACCCAATTGAAAAGTTAAACAAGCTTTTATCCATCAAAAAGTAAGTTTTTTATTATCTGTTTGAGTTCATCTGCAGCTGTGACACACATCAAAAACCAAGCAGAGGAACAGGCTGGAAGTAAAGAACAGCCTGGGATGAGATGTTTTTCCCAGTGATCTATTGGAGCTCATCAAAGCAGTTAAGGTGTCTTAATTAAAACAAAGTTAAACTAATAAAGTCAGTCTGGCTATAATTTTTGTCATTCATCAAGTTTAAATATGATTATAAGGGAGTTACTCAGAGGAGCTCCAGTTTTATAAACACAGTTTCATAATATGATTTGATTTTGTATTTATTTTTAATTCTTTACTAAATTCCAGGCAACATATGTATGTAGTTTTTTAAATTTCCGATGGAAAGCATAAAATTCCTGAGAATTAAATGCTCAAATTCAAAGATTAAGTAAAACATTTTTTACTAAAAACTTTTGGATAATTATCAATACGTGTGACTGAGAAGGGGATTCATGGTAGGCAAAATGCCCAAAGGGGTACACAAGTCAAAAAAGGTTGGGAAACACTGGTTTAGAAATTGAATCAGTTAAATAGGAAACTTCTGAAGTTAAAAAAAACTTTAAATTTTACACCTTAAATTTTACGTAGAGATTTTAAGTCATACATTTTTAAAAATTCTAACAGCTTACGTCTGTTTTCCACTTCCTTCTGACTGCTTTCACCACGTCATACAGCTCATCGAGTTCCTTCAGTGAGTCGTCTGGCTTGGTATGGACAGGTATCAGGACCAGGTCTTTTACAACTGAAAGTGGAAATAAAAGCCAATAATAAACACTACAAAATAAATAAATACCATAGATGTGACCAGAAACTAATTGTTTAGAGTTATAGCAAATTAAAAGGCATTATACAGCAAAAGAGGTGGCTGCACATGTAATATCAAAATTTCTTTTAGTTTATAGTATATATGTCTACATGGGCCTTAAAATATTTACTCATCAAAAACTGCGACGGACTGCTGGATGAATGAAAAAATGAACTGACAGATAAATATAAATTTTATACAATGGGACTAAAATGGGATTAAACTTTTTCTGTCGCACAGCTGTAGAAAGTAACTGCTCTCTGTGGTGCTCCATCACTGTACAAACAGGACTTTTAAGGAAGTAATTCGAAGAATATTTTCCGCAGATCACTTAGATGTTTGAATAAAGCAAATATTGCAGACAGATAAGCCACAGGATTTTGACTGCAGTGAAATAGTGCTGGGAGCTTGTTTTAATGATGCTAGAGATTTAAACTGGGATTTTTCTTATATATTGATATAACATCTAAAAATTCTGGATGAAAAAGACTTTAAAACCTTAAATGAAACTATAATAAGTAATGGCTTTATTTTAGGATTAAAATCATAAACACACCTTCATTTTCACACATACAACTTTTCTTTCAAATAACTTCTTTGGTGAAACTCTAATGCCTGTGTGTCCAATGATAACTTCTTTATGTCGTTTGATTTCTCGTTAAAACAGACTTCGAATAAAATGTTTATGCCCCTTATCACTGTATTAACTTACTATTTCATTATTTGGAGCTTGTTTGGCCTGAACTGAAGTTATTTTAAGATCAAACAGCACCAACCTGTGGAAGGACAGCGGAAGCGCAGGATGAAGGGCTCTCTGGCAAAAGCATCTTCATCGCCAACCTGATTATCCTCATACTGATATTGATCTGTAAGCTTAACCTCGTCTGATCTGCAACACAGTGATAAAATAAAGTTAGTTTATGTTTTATGAACAAGATACAAGGCAGCATAGGTCAATGCTTTCATGTTGTTTACTTTAAATTTTGAGCCTACTATCTGAATGTGCAGCGAAATTAAGATTATCCGAACAAGTGATGTTTTCAGCCTGGTATTGTCAAATGTTGGTGTTCGTGGTCTATCAGCTGGAAAGTAGTCTTGGAAGACTATTTGGTTAGTTGTTGCCTTGTTACCATTTTAATAATAAAAATAATTTGAACTATATTAGATGGAAAGTGTTGGGTTAATGATTAGAGCAGTGCAATTCAGTTTCTATTTTTATATAACCTCACACCAGGAAAAATTCACCTCTCCCCTTAACCCATCCCCTTGGGGAGCAGTGGGCTGCCACTGTGCGCTGCCCGGGGAGCAGTGTGGGGTTAAGGGTCCTTCTAAGGGGGCCAGAGTGGCGGTCAGTGGGAGTGGGGCTGGAACTCAGAACCTCTGGAAGCCAAGCACAATGCCCGAACCACTCCCCTTGAAGGTTAATATTTTAGAGTACAGATCCATCCGGTGATAAGATGACTGGCATTAAATATGTCAAGATGTGCATTCATTATGTAAACACTATCTTCACTTATAAAAAAAGGTGTTTTTTTTTCTTGTTCTTGGAAGATTCGCTTTCTAAGTTCTTCAGTTGCCATGACAGGTTTTATTGTCTTTCAATGTTTAACACAAATACGTGTGACACATTTGTTTATTTTAGACTTGAATGACTTATGATGTATGCACAGTTTGTAGTAAAAATCTATCCACCTGTAGAAACACACAAACTGCTCCTTGTAGGTGTTTCTTCCCAGACAGGAGCTGCGGATCATTTCATAGGGATGATCGCTGATGGAAGAGATGCAAAACAAAAACACATTCATTTAAGGTACAACATTTAAGTCTCTGATTTATCTTTTTTAAAAACCATGATACTTCCTTTAATGTTATATTAGCAACTCTCTAATCTTCTTTTTAACCTAAAAGCCTGCAGCCATGCTGACACTTCTATTAACATACTAACTACAAAGACATGTGAGGCAGAAAATGACTCTTCTGTAGTTGTACTTTACACTTACGAGGTACTATTGAGTTTTTTAAGTAACTTCTCCATGGCTTTGCCGCTTTTATCAACCACCTCCAATATCACGATCACGCTGTATTTGGATATAATCTGAGAAAAACAGAACCAAGTTAAACAATATACAATTCTATCTATCTATCTATCTATCTATCTATCTATCTATCTATCTATCTATCTATCTATAATGTAAATCACTAACATGTTAAAAATAAATAACCTTTACCTCAGTGAGGTACTGGGAAACCATTTTGTCTGTGACTTTCTGACGTCCCAAGTTCCTTACATTGAATGCTGCTACTTTCATTTTGGCCTGTTTGGGTGGAAAAAAACTTATATGAAGGAAGCTATGTGGTTGAATTGTAGCTGCTTTTTTCACACAGTCAAAAAAAACAGTCAAAAAGGAAAAGTTACCATGATTAAGTCTCTTTCCATTTGCTAAACTTAAACCATCCTTGTTTTCTCTAGCGGTAATAACTTGTAAAATTAGAATTGAAAGAAATCTAACACAGGGCTGCCCCGTAGTGCAGTTTCCTTGCAACAAGAAAGTCCTGGGTTTGATTCCCTGTCTACTGTCTTTCTGCGTGGAGTGTGGATGTTCTCTCCAGGTACCCCTGCTTCCTCCCACAGTCCAAAAAAAAAAGCCCTCCATGAACCTGATGCTTAACTGGCAAAAGATGATGGATGGATAAGTATAAAAACAAGATTATGATACAGAAATGTCAGTCTACTTGAAAATATGTATGGAACAAAATGGACTCTCAATACTGTATGGAGAACTTTTAGCTTGTCAAGAAGCATCAATTCTGAGCTATGGAGGCAGTTTGCTGAGTTCAAGAGGCCCAGCTTCCTTTAATAACAGATGTTTCCTTGTCTGCTCTATAAAGTCTGGTGTTGCACATTTTCCTTACAGCATAAACCATAAATATAGGGTTTGGGTTAACCCTAAACACAGTGATAAATACTTTAAGCAATGTGAACAGGTATTAACATATGCCATCCATCCATCCATCATCTGACACGCTTGTCCAAGTGGGGAAATGTGAAATAAGCATCTCCATTAGACATTTCAGCAATATTTCTATGCTCTATTTAAATTTAAAATGGGACTGCCCAACTAGGCAAGGCAAATTTATTTGTATAAACAGAGGAATAACGCTTCTTTATGTATGGGCTTAAAAAAAAAACAAAAGAACAATTATTGAAACAAAAGGGAGGCCTAAAAACCTCTCAGAAGGACATAAGGGTCAGGAAATCACATTGAAAAGAGGGACAAGAATCCAGGAATGTCATCATTGATCTCAACGCTGAGCTCAACACTGATATTGTATATATATATATATATATATATATATATATATATATATATATATATATATATATATATATATATATACGGTATACACACACACAAACACAGACACAAGACTGATGGTCTGTTCATCTTCCCAGCACTGTTCTAGACTGAAAAAGCAGTCAAAGGGATCTTTGAATGGGTGTCAGAGAATCTTTAGACTATATTGATCAAGACAAACTATGGCTAAGGGAAGAGGTGAAAAGTGACCCAAGATTTATTTTTTTTTTTTTAAATGTAAGAATATTAAATATTTTTTAACATATAGGCAAATGCAGTTTTTACAATGTTTTCAATTTAATCAAGTCAAAGCATTAGGTCATGTGACTGATATACTGCCAACCGTGACTCACTGATAACTCCTCTGTTTGCTAAAACTGAAGATAAGAAAAACAGTTAAACTGCCAGAAATGCTTTGCATGAAAACATCTGTCTTTAAAGTTTGGAAGAAAAAGGACAACTGACTGAAAAAATAGAGGAAGAGCTGTCTAAAATCTACCCAAAATCAATGAAAGAAATGGCTTCATTTTTTTTTTTTTACAGATTTTAAAATTAGGATGAAATACAGATTCCTGCTGCTACGATCCAATACTGGAAAAACGGATTGAAATTACTAGTAGAGTTCTTACCTTTTTAGATGAAATAAGCTAATTCAGAAGCAGTCTGCAGTGTATGTGCCTTTAGAGAAACCAAAGCTTTAGTTTGCAGAAAGAGAGCAGCCGTCAAACCTGCAGGAAGTGGCTCTGTTGCTACTAACCACACTAACATACATGTGAACTTCAGCACGCCCAGCAGTGTGTATCAGCACTTTAAAGGCCAGTTCCTGACTCTATAGGGGCGTCTAAAGCGAAACTGCTTTTCTGCATCACAGACCAAAGGGATAAAAGTTTGATACTAGAAATCCTCATGTTGTTTTCAGAGGCCTGGTTTCATCCCACAGGTGCAGTTTGTAAAGTTTCCAAAAAGGAACTATCTTCTCTTCTCCAAAGACCGTGTCCCTCTTTGACACTATTAGTCTGATTTTCCCATGAGAACAGGAAAAATTTCTCATGAGAGGTTCTTCAAATAGTTACAACTTCCTTGCTAAAAAAAATTTTCTCATTCAGTGCGGTTCTGTAAAGGAGAAATGAGACGGCAGATTAAAGAAGAGGAAGTACAGCAGCTGCAAATCCAACAGGACATAAGACTGACCTCAAGCACTTCTTTTGCGTCATCTATGAAATCTTAAATCCATCAGAGCAAAGTCCATTTTCTGCTTAAATGTGAGTACATAGTGAGATAGAAAGCTCAATAAAGGTTAATCATCAGTATCACTTCTGGTTGTTTATTTTCATTTTAACATGTACTGTTGCTGTGGAAGCTAGATACTCTGGGAAAATAGGTTTTAATTAAAAAAGGCAACTTATCTTTTAAGCAGACAGTAAACAGTAAAAACCATTAAACTAATAGGAGAAACGTACCTAAAAAAAGAAGCTGCAGCAACAACTCGACCACATCTATTTATCTTATTTCCAGGGAAGGGCTTCCACTGGCACGTTTCACTTCCTGTCTGGGACTAAGGAAAATGGCAGGAACAAACACTGCAGACCTACTTCAGACCCAGTGGATTCGATGCTTAGGTCCAGAAATAATTACATTAATACAGAGACAAGAGGCTTTTAGCATTAAGTTATTTATTAACATCAAATATGAAAAAACTCACGTTTTCATCCAAAATGCTTTCAATGAAGTTGCATTTGTAATCAAGCACCCAGTTCAGATATTAACTTCTGTCGAAACTGATTAAGGCAGGTTTTAAAATAAAATATACTGAGGAATCTGTTCACAGCCAGAGATGCATCGTTGGATTATTCAGCTAAAAGAATCTGTTAAACTGAATTGTGGTGCTGGATGGACAGATGCCTTAAAGGAGGCTGTTCCTCTGTGGGTAAATGGTTTATCACTGATGAAAATGGAATGCTTAAAAACAGCCGCATGGAGAGGGGCAGCAGGAGTTTCATTTGTACTGGCAGTCAGAAGGAAGGGAAACTAAATACTGAGCTTGGAGTGATTGGGATGAAAAAGACAACTCTAAATCATGGCTGAAAAACAAGCTCCATCACTCTGGACAACCGTTTGTTGTCGCTTTGAAAGTCCATTGGTTTCTAAATCCATATCTCTTCAAGCTGGGCTCATCACTGAAAGGTTTGATTGTCACTGCTCATTCTGCTGACTGTCTGTGATGGTAGATACGGCGCCCTGGCCTTTGCTGACATCACTAATACAAGCCCACTGGCCGTCCATGGACTCCTTCCACAGCGTCACCTACAGACACAGAAGGAAATAAAAACCGTTTAATTCAACATCAGCACCTCAAATACTTTTTAAAACGTATTTATATTTGCACAGAGATGCTCATCATAGCTTCTAGACGAATAAACGTTTTGGATTTTACCTTGTTGTCTCCACCAGAAACTGCCAGGATATTTCCAGTGATGGACCAGCTGACGTGCCAAACCACATCATTGAACTTGTGGAGCAGTTTGGCCGTCCAGGTGTTACCAGCAGGGTCGTCACATGTCCAAATAAACACACGGCCGTCCTGAAGGTAGAAAAAAGAATTAGGAATAATAGAATAGGATTAATCCTTACAAAGCATATTAATATCCTACCTAAAGTAGGCTATATCTATGACAATTAGATAATTTTAGGCCAGAATTTAAATATAATTCTGTTTAATTCACCATGATCCTAAATAAACAAAAGAAAACAACTTTAGCAATGACCTCCTATATCAAAGTGTTGGTTTGTCCTTTTTTTCCAGGTGAAAAATATCTGGTGTTAAACCATATTCTGTGATATAAGGAGCTGTTGCAGACTGTCACCAGTCTGTTATCTACTAATCAAAACTCGCAGGGCTAATACCTTAACTTTAATTATATTTAAAAGAATCACACCCTGCTCTAATTCTGAAGTCAATCATAGAAAAAAATCCCTTGGAAATGTATTTTAACATCATTGTTTTCAGCTACATGATAAAATGGTAGAGAACTAATTCAAAATGTACACCATAAAAAAGCACAGTTTATAATATGTTAATAATGTTGATATATTGAATAATCCAGTTGAGAAATCTAATCTCTGGCTCCACCTAGTGGTAAAAATTGAGCCCAAAGTGAAAGAGCAACTTTTTTCTTTAGTCTTTTGTTTTCCCAAATAAACAATCAGAAAGACCACATCGTTGAAACAGAGTCTCATATTAAAATATATTTAAAAAATGGTTTTCTTTTAAAATGTACCTGGGAGCAGCTGGCAATGGTGCTGGTGGGAAGGCCGATGGAAGGAGCCCAGCCAACATCTCTCACCCAATCACTGTGCGCCTCCAGCTTCTGGTCCTCCTTCCACTGACCATCCTCCTCTCTGCAGGGAGGAAGCAACATTCAAAATATAATATACTGACCATTTAAGATGGTATCAAATAAAGAGTCAATTTTTTTATAGAGGGTCCAAGGTAACTCTACAAATAAACAGTTTCTCTCATTACTATTACAATAATAAGTACGGTAATAAGAGACCAACTTAAAAGGAACTTTAAAGGCTACTGGTGGGACATTCACTACCACATCATGGTAAATGAATTTTAATAACTGCAAATAACATTTGGTAATAGTACAAATGTTTGATACACTTTCCTGCTCAAAGGTTTATAGTCATCTTCATTATCCTCCAGCATTATACATTTTTTTTTCTATAATCCTTCTTTCAAGGCTGTTGGAAAAGTACTTCGGGGGTCATTGGGGAAAGCAGTAACCCAAACATTAGACGGTTTATTTAGGATAATGTATCTAAAAGAGGATTTCAGTTCTTTCATTTTTTGTTTTGTTTTGTTTTGATCTTTTGTCTTGCAGATGATACCAGCCTTTGTTTAAATATGTAAATAAAATAAAAATATACATCAACATAAAAAAACAAAACGTTTTCAAAGGCTGCTCAAAGCACAACCCACATTAAATATCAAATGCAGCCAATTTGGACCATGCAGACTTACTTCCAGAGTTTAACCAGGTTGTCGCAGCCTCCGGAGACAAAACGTTTGACATAGTTTGGCTTCTGTCCCGATGGTTGATCAATAAGACTGCCTGGGATTACAGCAGGTGCCCAACTCACTGCATTACAGCCAATCTATAGTAAAAATGAACAAGAGTTTCACAATTAATACAGCCCTCAATCTCTAAAGCTAGAGGTAAAAGCAATAAGAACAGGGGGATTTATGTGCCTTTGCAACGTACAGTGTGTGCATTGCTGATCTTCTTGACATCCCACTGCTGATCTCCAGTAAATGTCAGAAGAGAAATCGCCCCGTCGGAGCTGCCACAGGCCAGGATTAACCCAAACTCATATGGACCCCAGCAAACTGAGTTCACTGTGGACACATGGAAGCAGAAAGAAGAACATGGTCAACTTCTTTTGAATTGGCACGGGCTGGGTAGCCGTTTTATCAGGATCAGAATGAGATCAGAAATTGTTTTAAATTCGGTTGCTTTTTTCTGCACATAATGATTTGTTTAGGGGCTAAAATTCACAATCATGAAGGAACACTAGAAGGGAAGTGAGACGCTGCCATGGAGAAAAATTTGGACATGACACTTGTGATCTAAAAACAGCTTCCACTGATAATTAAAGTGATATATGACTATGGAGACTCTGCTGACGATCAGCCCTCAATTAAGCAATAATTTCTTCTTTTTTTTTTTTTTTTTTTAATTCAGACATTTTAGTAGTAGCGATGTAATCATAGTTCTGTGATATTTATGATAAGGTTATCATACCATCAGAATTTCATGCCGGCCTAATCCTACTTTGGACTGGAAAATATTCTCTCACAACCAATTCATCACCAGATAATTTAAGTCTGCTGTTGAATATGCGCACAATCTACTGATGAAATAAATCAAACTTTCTCCACTTATTAAAAAACAATGACTCTTTTCTCAGAGTTCTACACCCAAGGCTTAATTTGAGATTTTGGGAAATTGTGCTACAAACAGGGAAAGGTAAAAAAACAAAACAAAATAAAAAAAAAACATCACATAATCAAGTAACGTCAGCTAATGCTTAATACTGATTTAATACACCTTTGGCAGTAATTACAACCTTGAAACATCCACATAAATTAGATGACTATTTTTGTTTCACAGTCATCTGACCAATAAAATGAGTGATGAGTGCTCCAAAAACAAATCATGTAAACTCTTCCAGCATCCATATACAGGGACCACAGATTTACCACTAAATGTAGCAACTAACAAAACCATTGTGTCGTTGAATGTGTTACTCATTCAAGGAAAAAAATGGTCACTACCAAGCTAAGCAGAAGGGTGCAGATAATTAAGTCTTCTTCACAGTTCACTACCAACCTGATGATTCGTGTCCATTGTACTCATACATCTTATCCCAGGCTCCATTCTCCTCCTTCCAGATGATGACTTTTCGGTCGTAAGAACAAGAAGCCAGAATGTTGCCAAACATCGGGTGAGCCCACGCCACCTGCCACACGGGGCCTTCATGTCTAAAAAGTAGAACATGCATTATGGAACAAGAGTTCATTCGTTTTACAAAGCTACTTACGTGAACAGAATGGAAAATTTCATCATTAAAAAGGGCAACATTTTGGGCATTGCAAAGTAAAATTAAAACCTATGAATAACTAAGAATTTTAATTGGGAACATGACAATATTTAATTATGGTTTAAGTGCATTTGGTTATGTTTCTTACCCTCTGAGATCTGCCACCAGGATTTGTCCTCCATTCCTGACATCAAAGATCTTGACGGTGCGATCAGAGGAGCATGTGGCGAGACGAGTCCCATAATAATCCATCTGGGCATCATGCTGCAACAAACAGAAACAGTAATGTTAAACTTTTACAGAATTTTTCTGACATCAGTGGAAGAATCTGAAGAAATAACCTCAAAATATGAACTGAAGTAATATGTTTGTTACATGGAGCTAAAGCTCAGGATCTGGGACTTTCAAAGACAATTCTGTTTGCATAGAGGTTACATAAATCTATTACTGAAATAATCAATCAAAATATTTGATTTAGTTATCAAATAATTATTAAGTTATTATACAATGATATTTAAATTATTAACATGCTATTTGCTGAAACTTAATTGAAAGCCATAATTAAGATAAAACATGTTTCTCTATAAGAAACATAGAGAGGCACAGCAAAAAAGAAATACATTCTACAAACTACGGACCTAAAAAAACTTCCAAATTTTGCAAATGAAAGTTTTAATAAGTGATTAGCCAATCTTAAACACTTCAGAGTAATTTTATCAAGGCTGACAGACATATAAATATGGTAAAATAAAAAAAAGGTTTTAATGATAAGCCACTAAAGGCTAACAGTTCAGAACAACAGCGAATAAGATAAAAAGTAAAATAGAACCGAAATACTTACGATCATGTCCTCGTGCGAGGTGTCCACTGTGTTAATAACGGATACCTTAAAGTCAAAAACAGTGCAAAAAATTCAAATTATGTACCAATCACAGACAGATTAGTCGGCTGCCATTAGCCACTATGCTAACGAATTGCTAATTCTATGCGAGCACGTCAGCAGCTAACGGTGAATGAAAGACATCACAGTTGACCTGAAGCAACCTGGCCAGCATTAGAGTTTAAAAGAAATTACACTCACCATGACTGTGGTTTTATCCCTATAAAAATCTTTCAGCAAGTCTCTTTTAAATTAGCCAGTTGACCAAACAGTCCGACGTGGCAACAAGTACCGCTTCCACCGAGTCCGACCTCTTTACCTACCGGTAGGAACAAAGAATGACCACAAATGGTTCCCCAAACAGGACAAGGCATTCCAGATTAAAGCAAAACTGTTGTTGGCAAAAGTAAAACGTATTTTTAAATTTTTCATAATACTGAACATTCATGGAGCAAAGTGTTAGTAGTGTAAAGAACCATTTTAAACAAATGCAGTGCTTTGTTTTTACATATTCCTGAATGCTCATCATATACTTTTATTTCATAATCATGTGTCGATTGTTTTATATTTCATCCAGTTTTTGCTAAAGTATAGTCAAAACAATACAATAAGGTAAATTCTTAATTAGCAAGCACATTCTACATTAAATCACTACTATGAAGGTGAGTTTAACTGCTAAAGCTATTAGTTTTTAATAGATAAACAATGCTTTGCACGTTTTCAAAGAATATCATTAATAAACATGATTTTTTTTTTAGAAGAGAGCGAGAAAAAAGGCTAAAAAAATATTATCATAACTGATGCTTTGTTAGGTTGTAGATGGGAAGAAAGAGGGGTGGAGGCCCCAAATGTTAGGGTACTGTGTCAAAAAGTTGGGTGTTCTACAGATTATGGCAAATAGAAAAGTATCACTTTTGATTCTGGTGAAGATTCTCAGTCCTCCAGGTCATGGTCAATAAAATAAAGTAAAAAAAAAAAAAACCACTCTACTTTGTTTCCAAGTTTGAAGACGTTACTTCTGAATTCCTTCTGAAAATCATTGTAGGATACATTAACTATAATGGAAAGGTCATTCAGTGTCAGTCTATACCATTTGCATCAAGGAGAATAATCAATGTTCATCACAAATCTCAACAATTTGAAGAACAGGACATAAGATCTAATTCTGTTAATTGATTTCTGTGTTGACAATAACTCTAGATCATTATCCATCAGTTTTGAAGTATTAAATGGTATAGAATAATCCAGTTTAACATCCTTTTATATTATATTATGCATCCTTTATGTTTCTTTTATGAAACAAGTTAAGTAATTTTGTGCATTTAAATGTATTGTTTTTGTTAGTTGCTATAATTATTG